AATATACAATATTTTCTACTGTAATCCTTCGGGACCTAAAGCTTTCGCTTCGTCGTGCTCAGCTCTGAAATATAGGATGTGAAAACGCATAGTTCGATCGTCGGGGAAATAAATAGAGTTTTACAAGAGCAAATAGCGCGCGAGAGACGAGTCTCATAATCGAGAAAGCAATCGCCGGAATCTCTTACCTCATCGCTCCTCGCGGTAACGGCAGCACCAGTAACTTGTTATTTTGCTTTGAGCCGAGGACTCGAACCTGATTTCATGCTGCACTGTGCAGAGATTTCACAACGTCGACTTGCTCGCACGAGATTGGGAAAAACATCCAAAGGAAAAGGTGTTAAAATTGTACGGTGAATTTGTTAATCGATTGATCAATGTGAAAAGTACGCATTGACGGGCGTGTGGGCTTGGGCGTGGTGGTTACGTGGGTGATATCAAGATTCGTGCTTTTCTAATTGGACGTAGCGAATAAAGTTTTCCGTCTAGCTTTTGTTCAATTGTCCATTTAATCTTTCTTGATCCTGGGCGAGCCTCTTTAAAGTGCGTCAAACACTCGAATCTTATACGTAAAATAAGTACAACCCAATAATAAAAATAATTATCATAACCTTCAATAATATAGCGTTATGATACGTTTGTTCCGGGAGTAAGTGTGTTCGTTTGGGGCATGCGAGGAATAGTGAAAAATAGTAGTAACTTTCTGTTGTTGGCACTATCAAAATTTTTAGCGATTTGTACGCGTTTGTACGCCCTCGTACGCGCGCGTATGCGCATATGTGGCGAGGGCCTGACTCGATAAACAATGTTCGTGGCAACGCTTCTATCTTCTATTCTTTGCAGTCGATCAGTGAGAAGCGCTTGACATATACAACGTTAAATGTGAATAAGTTCCCGGCCAACGAATCGTTTTGTAATGTAAAAGTACATGTCGCTCATAAAATAACGGCAGGCGCAATAAACTGAGAGTGCAAGTGAACGACAATTTGTCCATTCACTTCCGACCAAGTCAGTCGTTAACCTCGATCGGCTCTCCCCCTTTTCCGTGAATCAATCAAAGTATGCTAGTCGTCTGCACCAGATAAGTCTTTCGCAGACGTTGTAAAATCAAACTCCGATTTTCCCCTCCTCTGTATGCGTACATGGCATGTGGTATTTCCGTTGCATTTACACGCGATGCGCTGACTCACCCGTAAGTGTATCGAGTGATTTTCCGTTTGTCGCTTACAGTGCAGGTGCACCGTATATCCGTACCCGCGAGCGCGATCGCGCGGACCGGCGTCGTTCGATTGGCTATATGGATATGTGTCCATAATATTGGCGTGACAAGCTCGCAAGAGCACTAATTTTTCATCGACTCGATTATTTCGATATCTTGCATGCTTCCCGCGTTATTATAGGTCGTTTATATTTGACAGCAAGAACGTACGGTCACGATACGAATTCACTTGAACGTTCTGACGCGTTGCAGAATAATGGTACTGGATTGCACGAAGCTCATCAGCCTTCCATTGAGCAGCAACTCTTTGAGTCGTCGCTATGGGACTGTGCATACGTCACAAGGTGATCCTTCCAATGGAGTTCAGAGTTGCGGCGTGAGAGGAGAGATAAGGTTAGGATCGGTACGCAGACAAACGAGCGAAAGATCGCGAATCGTCAAGCTAGCTTTTTGTCGAGCGAATATCACGACGATTGACATGACATTCAGCCGCGTGCTCGATCAAGATTTTTTTTCTTTGCACTTACGATGTTTATATACATTGCTTAGCTTCAGACCATAAAATGAGATTCGGTTGAAAACTATACGACCAAGACGCGCAAGGTTTTTCCTATCAGTAACGCGACTTCGAGAATGGAAGTATAATGATACCCGTATATCGTTGATTATCGCGTTTGGTATTTAACGTTCCACTGTATTGGGTATCCATCTGTTGCAACGCAATCGGGAATGGACCACGAGGATCTTTGCTGTTCTCTTGCCGGATGCTCCGATGCGTCGATCCAGTGTCAATATTCAATATTCATCGTCACGGCTGCGTTGCTATAGCGCCCGGCCCGAGCGTTACGTCAAGTTTTCGTCAGTCGAGTCTTGACTCACGCCGAGTACGCACACGCAACACTTCTCTCGCCGCTCGCGCTGCTGTACAGAACGTAGCTTGCAAGACTTCAGTCATGAGGGAACCCGCTGAGAATCGAAGGTCTAGGTGTGTGCAATTGTGCTTTCGCTTCTTTTATTTTGCGCTTTTCTCGTTGTTGTGCGAGCGAACGACGGGGCGCGCGCTGTTCTCCCCGTTGCGGTTTTGCGACAGGATGCGGCTCATTCTTTTGGCGCGTGTTTAGATGACGCTCGCCTTGGCGACGAGTCAAACGAGGAGAAAAGTGTTAATCGAGACTTGTGAAAGATCGCGCGACTACATGGCGAAACTAATGGACGTACGTGACATTTTGGAGGTCGCCGATGTTTAACTTGTAGACATTTTTTGTACGGTTTTCGTGTTCTTTAGATGAGTTCAATAGACACGCGAATTAGAATTTAACGAGCAAAATCTGAACGCCACGGTTCGACGTAGTTTCTGTTTGAGAATTATCATAAGTTTAGGAATTACTTGATGTTCCGATAGTTTTTGGCTGCTTACGTTTCCACGAGAACACAAACAAAAAATTAATGAAAGAATGGATAGCGTCTTCATAATTGTCAGATTATTGTGTACGTATTTAGAATAGAACTTTTCGTTTGCTCGTAGATTATATGGAATTTTGTCGTCTAAGTAAAAGTTAAGCGCGCTTCTGACGAAGCGCGAAAAGCCTCTGTATGCTTAGTCGGCAACGCAATAGAACATTAGCAGCATTCTTAGTCCACGAAAAAAAATAATTTTATTCGTCTTCTGGAAAGCGCACGTTGTCATTTTTACTATTTTTACTAACTAATTTCAGCGAGCGCACTTGAAAAACGCGCATAACTATAGTTTACTCTGCATCACAGTTAATCACATTTGGCATGTAATAATAATCATTGCGTACTGTCAACTTTCATCGCGAAACAAGCGTGTCCTTTAATAATTTTAAAACACATTAACTCACCCTCCACGCGGTCTTTCTTCCTTCATCGAGCAACAAAAAATATCGTATTTCGATACGTGTGACTTGAGTAACCCATTATTGCGCGGCATGATATTAGCGCCGGAGTGCAAACGAGGGCGATAATCACGCCGTGCAACGGTGGGATACTTGAGTCACAAGAATCGTATAGCATTTTATAGTACGGCCGATCTCAAATCAGCACTTAGAATTCGTCTATCCCTGACTCAAGATGGGTCAGTCCTCACGAACACCAGCGAGTGCTCTAAGCACGGCGGTGCATAAATGTATTTAAATTACGGATCGACGTTATTTAAGTGCTGATTTAGATCACGCAGTGCTATAAAAATCGTTTTAAGAAAAACGTTATACCTTCCTCTCACCTCGATCGAAAATAAAGTCTAAAAATCATCGTGTTATCAACATCGTAAAAAATCGGCTCGGAAAAATTATAAAAAAATTGCGCATGATTAGTAAGAAACGCAAAACTTATGATCGTCAAACACACAATCCTTCTGCGTCGCTTTCTATATTCATTATAAACGTCACATCATCCATGGCCTGCGAAAGGCTTACGATCAAATGGATTTATCAGTTGTCCTTTTCCAAATTTTTCGATGCGTAAACTTCCAAAATTCGCCTGACAAAGCAAAAGCTGTCTCTGCGCAAATTTATTATCCGCAAGCAAATAGGAAGTAAACTCGCGACGCGATGACTTATCGAAAAACATCCCGCGGACACGGGTTGATTTGACGTTAATGAGCGTGGCTGGGAAAGACGGTGGGAATCTATCGAGGTCGCGCACACGCGGATGAGAACTTCAAGCGTGACATTCGCACGACCGACATTCCACAACGGAGAGAATAGAAAAATTGACGTGGACGCTTGCACAAATCGAGCGCTATGTGACGCTGCAAAACGATACATGGTCGGGAGAGAGCGGCATGCGCGCGCCTTAGACTTTGGACTTTGCCGAGGAGAAAGAAATTTTTAATGACCTTGATCGCATATATCTCGTGCACACCTTGCTCGCGGCTATTAATTTGGCGCTCTTCGGCGGAGTCAGCGACGAATGAAGCGACTTAGCGAGAAATCAACGAAAATCATTCCGGAAAAATTGTAGGTAAATTTAAGCGTGATTAGCAAGGATAGCAAAACTCATTAATAACTCGACGCAATTTAGCGTAGTATTTTCATTCGGTTTTTATAGAAATGAACGTGGTGTTAATTTTTCTGTCCAATTCCAAGGCGCCGGCGTATCGCTCTTCCAGGCATAATTCGTTTCACAGCGTTACATGGCAATCGTCCACGTTCATTTTTCTTTTCTATTCATTGTGAAATGTCGGTCGTGCTGATGTTACTCCTGAAATTCTCATTTACATGTACGTAATTTCGATCGATTCTCACCGTCTTTCCCAACTTTCGCCGTAACCACGATCATCGTGCGCACACACACTCATTAATATTAAATCAAGCCAGGATATTTTTTGAAACGTCATCGTGTCGCGAATATATTTCCTGCTTGCTTGCGGATAATAAATCTGCGTGTTGAGGCAGCTTTTGTTATCAAGCAAATTGGAAGGCTTAAAAGAATTCATAAAATAAGGACTGCTAAATTCAATTAAAAAAAATTCTGAAAATGGGGACTGCTAAAGCCATGTGATCGTACGGTGCTTATACGAATATGAAAAACAACGAAAGTACTACGTGTTTTATGATCAAGTAATTAATTGTCGGTCGTATTTACTGGCAATCCGGTTCGTTTTTCGGCAATTCGCTGAAATACCGTATGAAAAATCTTAAGTAATATCCTTTGACCTGATCACATGGATACAATTATGTCGTGAAATCTTTTGATGCGCGATAGAATAAAATAATTCCTAAATAAAAAATTCTGAATGTCGATCGCTTTGCATTTACAGATGCAGCTTGCGCAGGATCGCGAGGCACGAGGTGCCAGAATTCAGTAACGCCAGCATCCTCAACAGCATGGAGAGGTTCGTTCGTACAGTGAACGAGATGGAGGAGACGATATTGGTACCTAGTCGATTGTTGGATTTAGCCGTTGGCGATGCAGCAGACGAAATTTGCCAAAAAGACAGCAAATACGGCTTGTCCACCATCAAAAGCAATCTCTACAATACCGATCTGTACAGACTCTACAATATCGTCAACCAGATGAAAATTGAACTACTCTGGTCGCAGGAGGATCCTGCTCAGAACCTCGCTGATGAACAACAGGTAATGTGGAAGTTAAGGTTTCTTATGTATAGTATTTCCTCCTTACATTAATTTCTTCCTTGTCATTTTATATTTTCCGTTTTGTCGTATTGATAGTTTTCCTTTCATCGATGGAAAAAAACAGTAACGTAATTTATGAATGCTTGTATACGACATAGCACATCTTATTAAAAATTATCTTACCTATGTGTTTTGAATAGGTGAAATTACTTTCATTGAACTTATATACGCAGTACTTCAAAGATAAATGAGTGTCCTTTGACTAGTAATATAGAGAAGAGAAAGAGAGAGAGAGAGAGAGCCAAGGCGTGAAAATGTTTCGAAGCACTTAAACTTTTTGAAAAATAAAATTGGTAACTGTTAATAAAAATAATTTCATAGGAGCAAGAAGCTCAGCGCAACAAGATGCAGGTCGCCGCAATAGAGCAGGCTCGTCTTGGTCACGCGAGGTGTCCATCGACCACGTCTATACAAAGTGTTCAGTCAGCATCATCGGTGGCATCAAGCAGCTCAGTAAGTGACTCTGACTCGGACACAGGCATTGAGAACGACTCAGGTTTGGAAAGCGAAGAGCCAAGTGATCGACTTGCAAATCTTGCTGCCGAACAGTTCAGACGTCATCTTCATGGACTCCATCGCAGCATCAACCGCATGACCGAGGCAGCAGAATACCTCAATCTCAGATATCAAGCTGACGTCGGCGGTCAAGTTTGATTTAATGGCTCTATTGACAAAATCAACTCTGCTACTGTCTATTACGCTCGCGTTTGTGTGATTATGGAACTTAGTTTTGCCTTTTGTGTTCGCTTTCGATCTGCGGGGAGATCCAATATTACTATCCTTCTTTTTTCAATCACCGATTTTCTGATTTTGTCGTTATTGTCTCTTTCTTTTTTCTGTTATCTATGATTTTTATTATTTCTTAGAGTTTTCTGTTGACAATCGGATTTCTCTTATACATAGTTCTAAACTGCATTTTCAAGTCTTAGCATTAATCAATTTCTCGAATTTTCATATTATTATTCGCAAATATTGCTGTCTTCCTTTTTCTTTTCATTATTTTATCCAATAGCATTTCTTTGGCACTTCGTATTAGCTTTACACGGTCTTTGGAGATTATGGATGAACACTAGATAATATTTTGTTAATGTCGATACTTCATTGGTGGTAAATACTGACAATTCTGTAAGGGGGATAAAACATTACGCTCATGAGAAGCTTTATAAACTATTCGATAATAAACATTAAAAAACTGATTTATTTTTAAGGAGGGTGAAAGTCTCGTGCAATGTAGCGATTAAGTTATGAAGCAATATTGCGAAAAAAGGAAATGAGCGCAATGTTTTGAAAAAGCCACATTGTGCAGTGATGTTGTACTGTTATCATCATTATTATTTCTTAAAACACAAATGGAAGATGAGTCTATTAAGATGTGCACATATGAGTGCATTAATATTTTATAATAAGCGTATTTTTTATATGCGTGTTTAGTACGCGCGAGCGTAAAGATCGATACAAAAAATTAATCGAACGAACAAAAGAGAGGAATGATTTGAAGATAATAATTTTTAAGTGGTGGTTTGATCTTTTTATTGAGACGTGGTTCAGCGAGTGTGTATATAGTAATTAAGTGAGAATTAAATTTTATAAAGTGGTAAATCCGAGAATTCGGTTAGGTTTAAATTGAATTCTTAATAGGAATAGTCACAAATTCAGGGATTTAATGTTCTCTACGTAGAATTAGTTTCGTCTATTATTTATTTTGGTTTTTCTTCCTTTTTTTCGTTAGTTTTTACAAATGTAATTTATATATGAAGTCAAGAGAGAGCGCTCTACTATGCAAATTTGCGTGTGTCGTAATCTTTTGTATGGAAATAAAACAGCCAATAAAGATTGTTTAAATATCCCTAAATGACGTTCACGATGTCGTTAGTTGCGATTGAATATTCCAAATTTTTTGTTCTAAATCTGAATTGGAAAATGGCAATCATTCTTTAGTGCATAATTTTGAATAGCCAATTAAAAATAAAAGAAAAAGATTACATCACAGGCATAACCAAAAGTAATAGAAACAAAAATTGGATGGAGAATCCGAGCTTAGCATTGCGAGAGTGCAAATTTATGTAAATCATTTTTCGTCTCTGTATATAATTTTGTAAATAAGCCAGAGGTTCACTCTGAAGTTAGACCTGATCGTTGAGGACCTTCTTGTCTTATGAGAAGCAGTACAAGCACGAGACACATTTCACGTTATTATAATTTAAAGAAAAACGTTAAAAATTACATTTTTCTTTTTTGCAAATTCGAAAATGTTCACTTTAAATTTGAAGTCGACAGTTTCATTAAATATTTATGCTATAAATATAATCTTCCCTTTTAATTCTTGTTGAAATTAATTTCTTTACGTTATTTTATAAAATTTTATTATAAAATAAGTTTTAATTAAAAAGAATATTGATGTAGCACGTTTTAGAATAATGAGCATTGTATTGAATGATGACGCGATATGTGTTGAGCTACAGTTAAACAAGTTTTATATATTTTCAAATGTTATAATGTTTTTACAAATGAAGGTAGATTTTTCAACACATTTTTAGAAATATTTAACTGTAGCGAGCAAATCTAGTCCAAATCTACTGCAACTCAATAATTATCAAATAAGTCTGTCGTAACTTCTGCACGACGTAAAAAATTATAAGCATCCGTATAACTAATGATAAATAAGTAAAATACATGGTACAGACGCTTCAAATTATTGATCTGAGCAATAGCATTTTATAAACTTGACACGATAAAAAGTCATATGCACTGATGTCATATCTAATGTACAACCTAATAATGATAAAAAAATTTTTATCGATTTTTTTGAAATGGCATATCATTTATTACAAATTCCTCGATAAAAAATATATTGCTTGTTATTTTTATTATAAATTAAGTTTATAAAATTAATAAATGCTTGCTTATTGTTCTCTTTTTATTTTCTATAAATTTATATAGTATAATCGTCCACTTATCAATTGATTTTGATCTGTTTTATGGACTGAGAAGTGAGTCGGTAATACAGTTGGCTATAGAAAAACTTATTTATTATTTACATATCTTCCAGTTCATCTGTAGCATATAGTGCATTCGAATTCTTCGTTTGAGTCCTGTCCTGTAACGTAATAATGTCAACATAGGTTATGTGACCACTCGTTTTTAAAACGAATAAACCTTTTTTTATCACCATGAATTTTATATCCGACTACCTGTAGTCTGTTTCGAACATGTGAAAAAAAAACAAAAAATAAAATGTAACGGAAAATCAAAAATTCTAGTAAGAAATATAATTTAAAATAATTTTACTTTATTTCTTATTTGATGCTCACATTGATTTGTACATTTTCTCTATTGAACAATGAGTTGCTAAGATATAATTAATTTTACGTAGATATAGCTTATCTATTCCGACATTAGTCAAAAACCAATTGACATAATTCCAACATCTGTGATTACGAGATATATACGCATCTGTTGTCCGTATCGCAAGTAAGTATACATTTTTCAATTTGATTAATTTGATAATTCTAAACAATAGTTAAATTAATTTGATAGTTATTGGTGAAGTAATAAAATTTTATTTAATGATATATGCGTGTAATTAAATGCAAAATTAGACTCAGAAGTTGTAATTTTCAAACAAATGTTAAAGCTTTACAACGATATTTGTACTTTTTTTCTAACTGGAAATTTAAAAATAGATATTACACTAGGTATTATAAAGGTATAGTACCTTGTGTACTTCTACTGAGTTAAAAATAAAAGATCTTAAAGTAACGATAACATAAACAATAAATAATAATAATATAAGTAGTAACAAAAATGATAACAATATTATGATCAATATTAATTGAACTCGTATATTTACTGTATTAATCCTGCAGAATACTAAAAAATGATTCAACTGAGGGTATTTGAAATGTTATCCTAAGCTCTGAGAGAATACATCGATTCATCGCTAGAAAAATATTGATGCGCAATATCACATAACTTAATTATTTTCATGTTATTTAACTAAAAGCTTTTTTAACACAATGTCTTCACGTATATTATATTGCAGTGTATTATACCACATATAATACAAATTATAAAGATATCCATGTAAATATAAAATTAATAATTCGAAATTAATTTCTTGTAATTTTTTTTTTACAGAAAATCACTCAATATCTTCTTTTCTGATTGTCAATTATCAATTATGATTGAAGCTGCTGTATTGGTTTTGGTTTGTATTGTATTTACTTCTATTCTTTTCATAATTTGTAAAATAAGAGGTTGGTATTATATTTTATATTGAAAACGCATGCATTTATATAACTACTCAGTTTATTTTAAAAATTATATAAAAATTAATTTTGGATTCTAGGTCAGCAAGTAAAGAAAAATAACAATATAATGATAACGAAAAAAAGACATTTAAACGGCATCTCCGATTATCAAAAGCTATCAAGCATTGATCAATTCAATTATCACAAAATACTCCACGAATTTCATAACGCTTGTTCGGTACGGAATAATTACTTTAGATACAATTGAAAAAGTGACCAAAAAAATTCTAATCACAAATATTATTTTAGAATTGCTCGAATGTATTTTCCTCGATGAAATGTATTCAATTTGCTTCAAACTATCCAGAATTGATAAATGTAAAAATTTTCTCTGATGGAGTTACTCCATTTCACCGAGTTTGTTTTCGCGGAAATGTTCCAGTAATTGAATTTATGTTAGCTAAAGGTGGTTACAGTGTCGATTACAGAGTTCAACACTATACAGTCTACGGCGTTGTATATTACAAGCTTTAATAACAATTTTTTTCTTTTCAGGTGCAGATATTGAAATAAAAACTGCAGTTGGAGAAAATGCGCTGTGCATGGCTCTTTACTATTATTTGTATTCGGAAGAAAAAGACATGATTTGCTTAAATATTCTGTATAAAAATGGTGAGCTATATAATTAAAATCTTAATTATTTACATACACGCTATACATGCACATTTATAAATATGTGTTCAATGAAAAAATGTTGTCGCTACTTCCCTTTTAATAATTTACTAAAACTGTAGATCGTAGATACTGAAACAATGAATGTAAAAAAATTTTAGGAACTAATCGTGTAACTATCACGGCAAAACCTTAAAATAGTATTTAAATTTAAACGTTTTAAGTGTGTAATTGTGACGCCACCTATAAGAAATACATTGTCGCTGAATTTAAACGTTTAAAAGTGTTTAAAATTGAGGACAATGTATTTCTTATGGGTGACGTCATATTAAACGTTTAAATTTAAACACATGAGTTTACCGTGATACTCATTTTTAGAGAGTCATGTACAGTGTCATTGCGTTTCATGTTAACAACAAAGGCAAAATATTAAAGTGGTTCATAATCAAACTGATAGGTATGGAAATCGTCATTCGATTTTTCAATATTTGATGAGAAAGTAGGTAAATAAAAGGTTGCAAAAATAATTAACCGCACTCTATAGGTGGCATCATTTATCGATAGTCATTGTTTGAAGTACCTGTACGATCTATAATTTAGGCAAATTACTAGAGAATATTACGATGACTTTTTTTAATTTATATATCTAAACCGCCTTAATCAGAAAGGTAAGATCATTTATATATTTTTTGCTCATAGGCTGCCAATTCGCTTATGATGATGAATGGTATGATATATTTTTGAATCTTGCAATCAAGAATAATAACAAGAGTTTAACCGAGTGGTTGCTTACTCATTCTAAGTCTCCAAAAAATAAGAATAACAATACTAGAGCTTCTTCTGTACCTATATGTAAATATTGGAAAAGTTAGCTCTTTTTAATTTCATATATAGGTTAAGTGATTATATATTATTTATATAACAGTATCTGCGTAATTATATACAGAATTTTTTAATTAGAAATGTTCTTTTAAAGTTATTTCAAAAATAAAGTTGAAATTTCATTATTTACAGATACTAAATTTTCATGTAAAAAAGTTATAATTGACTATCATTTTGTAATAACTTTGCTGTAAAATTTGTATGCTTTTTATCCTTTAAATCAACAATTGAAAAAATACACATATAAAATAATTTGTTGTTGTTGTTAAATTAGAACAAATCTTTATAAAAATCTACAGAATTTTGTCATGTTGAATATACCTATACCCCTTTATCACCTTATAAAAAAAAGATAGAAGCATGTTGAAGCATTTTATTCATGTTCTGATTGAGCGAGATATCGTCACATGATATACAGTTATGGGGCAAGAAATAAACGTGTATGTGTAATTTCAAGATTTTAGCGATAAAAATTTAATTTATCATAATTGATACGGGACAGTTTGAAGACAATAAAAGTAAAAAAAATAGATCGCAGCGTTATTATTTGAACATTCATTTTATGAAACTATTAGCAGCGAATAACACAAGAAGTTATACTTTGAAATTGTTCTAATTATTTTTTAACTAATCGATAATTTGGTTTTTGAATAAGTTTATTTATTCAAAGAGTAGAATAAAAGTTTAATAATAATTTGACCCGTGTAGTTGAAAAGAATCAATATAACAAGAAATGAATAAGGAGATATAAGAGCGAGCGAAGCGCGTCTGAAATCACTAGTAAAAAGATGTTATATATGGCAGAAATCAATATTAAAACAAGCGGTGCATCGTGGCCTGAAGGTCCCGTCGTAATTCTTGTGAATAATATCAAATGAGTTAAGATATAGGCTAGCCGACGTAAATCAGCGCACCGCTTATAATAAATTATTCCTCGCTACTTCTATTGCAAGAAATCCAATGGAAAAAAAAATTTTTCAAATCACGAATCCATTTGTTTCAGATATGGCTGTCTGTTTATAATAATAACAGTTAATAACTTTTGTATACTGCTAAAACTGTGTTTTGGCATTGATTCTTTGATAGTTTTGACGGTTTTAGTAATATTGAAATAAATTTATATTAATATCTAGAACGCATGCATAAATAGATATAAACTTATGTAAAAAATGTGTATTAAAATGTTTTAATTGTTGATCTACCAATCGTAATGGCGTAAAAATGAGACTGTACTTCATTGCTATACAGAGTATAGCAAGTTTCAGGAAAATGGGACAAATTTGGCCGAATTCACCAATAAAATCCCGCAAATATTTGTGTAATTTGCTCTTTTTATTCGCGCTATGACTTACATCTTAGGATAAAAAGTTAAAATGAAGACATCGGCTTCAGGATTTTTGTAAAGTTTATCATGATGCTTGCAGACTAAACAAACACTACGCATTTCGATATTTCCTTTCTTCAGCTTTCCATTGCTCCATTCTTCCATCATAATTGGTTCGGAGAAATCGAATATGAAAACTGGAATCGTGGCACTCTCCTTTATTCCGTTTGTATTCAGCGCTGTCATGACATCCTTAGCGTATTGAGTTATCAAAGCCAAGTGACAAACGAAGTCCTGGTCCGATCTCGACGTAAAGGCGGTTTTCCAACAATTTCTGTAAAGTAATAGCATTGGCTTGGGAACAACGTCGCATACGACTGCTGCCATAGATCACCCTTACATTGAGAAGTTCTGCACGCTGTCTGCGCGGCCCGTGATCCCATTTCCCACGGTATGAACGGCATGGCCTCGAGCGTGTCCGAAAGATCCGTCTGGGTAGCTAGGCTTGCTTTGCGAATTGTCGATTACCTCTGCAGCGTCTGCTGCGGATTTGCCAATATACCGCGCACCACCCAGAAAAGACTCGTTGGCGTCTAGCAGTTCTTTTATAAGCCAGCCTTGTCGGCGTACGGCCATTGCCGTCTTGCGCTTCAGTTCCAAGCTCTTCAAGCCCGTTTGAGAGGCTACCACCTCGAACAAGCAACCATTTTCACTCGTAGCTTTCGCGTTCTTACCACCTCGCAAGCTCCAGTGCCCGATTGCACTTTGATTTGCTTGGTACTCTGCCTCGATCGTTATTTGGCTGCCGCCTGTTTTGCCGCACGTGTAAACTTGTTTATCTTTTTGCCAAATATTGATTGGGCGTTTTACTATTTCACTTAGAATTCGAACGTATAGAACATCAGCTGGACCGTTTTCGTAAATATTTCTAATTATGGCGTTTATCATTTTCAAATATCTCATTTCTTTCGCAATCCCATCTTCAAAAGGGTATTGCGAGTTTATGATGCTCCAATTATGTAAATTATTTTCTTTTACAAGCATCCTTTATTGAGCAGAGATTTTTTTTGATTTTTTCAGTGCATTTTATATAAAAAAATTTTTTTTCAATTTTTACATGGACATTTTTTACAAAGATTTTGTACTTTTTACCGCACTAAAAATTCGGCAGCTTGAATTATTATTTAACCTTGCAGACTGTGAACGATCGTCATTTCTTATAACGATGTAACATTCAGTATTGGACTTCAGTTTAAACGTTGTTAAGTAATTTTAAATGTTGTACAGATGAGTATCGATATAAAATAACGATCGCCCGATTAAAGTTTTGAATATAAGGTTACCACAAATACGTCGGCTTTATCGTCATCATATACTTATCGTAGTTTTTTTTAATGTTTCATGACAACTACAATTTTATTAATTAACCGAAAGTTTCATCGTCATACCAATATTGAACTTTCGGTAATTTCCTTTCGTTGATCCATAATTTCTTTACTGGAATTTCAACATCTTCTTTTGATTCACGTTTACCTTGATAATTCAGCATGTCCATAAAATCCTGACATGCATCATTTTTCAAAATATAGCGAGCTACAAAATCTTATCTGATCGGGAAAAGAAACGAGTTTTTTTTTTAATTATCCCGTTTTGATTTCTAATCCAAACGTAAATAGGATCCCAATCGCCTATATCGAAACCAATTGGCTGTCAATGGCGTAGCGATTGCGTGATTAGTTCTAACGTGATTTGACGTATTTTGACTTTTTGATCCCCAGTATATAAGAGTGTATAATAATTAATTAGTTATATTGAAACTTATAGTGTTACAAGAGCTATGATTATTTTGCAAAGAAAAATTACAGCACTCGTACACTGGACTTTGTACAGCGATACTTTGTTTTTTAATACATGACGAACACGGGAATTTTCCAACAATCGCAAAAATATTGGTTACAACCAGAGCATTGCATATTGACTTGCAGCAACACAACTAAGACTTTTTATTAAAAAATTATAATATTAATAAGCATGCCAAACGATTTTCTGTTTTGTGACGATGACTTTAAATATTAAATATGTTAAAAATACGGATTTAAAAAATTATACAATCTGGCAAATAAAATAATACGAAAATAATGAATGAAAATTTGTATATTTTCTAGTAATAATGCAGGTCATTTAAGTAATTTTGACGAGTGACAAATTTTAACTTGGATGAATAAGTATAACAATAAAATAAAATTTATGTTTAATGAATTGCTGGTGCTATTGAGAATTTCACTTAATACGGTCAATTGAATTTAACAAGAATACGTGCAATAGACTATGTTACTTAAGAAAAAAAATGATTGAGCTTAATATTTTCATGGTACAGTGCTGTCGAGCAACCTGCGCGCCATCACCATAACTTATTTATAGTTAATTTCTAAAGTTCTAATAAATATATGTGCAATTTGCAAAAACTCACATAATCGCTAAGAAATAAAAAATCATTTGGCATACATATAGCATCTATTGAGGAGAAAATTGGAGCCGCTTAAACAAGTACATTCTCTGCAATCACCAACATTTTCTGTTAGTAAATTTTTTCTATATTCTACATCATCGTATTAGTCATGTAATAGGAAGCTATTTGGCATGGATTACTTCCAAACCTTTACTTTCGTTGGTAAAGTAGTGCCATTTAATATTAAATTGGTATTGGTAAATTGATAACTAGGTTCTCAACTCTCTGTTTTGAAATTCCAAATGAGAATGATAATAATATATTAAAAATATCAAAGTGTTTCCATGGACATTAATCGGCTAGGGAAACCCTTCTTATTCTAAATTCATACGAGTAATGTTTGATAATAATGCGTTTACAGGAACTTCATATCATTTAGAAATTTTGTTACGTTACGCTACATTTTAAGTGTTGCCGTGACTCTTTTTTTGCAAAAGCTAAATATAGTTGATTATTTTAAGTCAGAATGATTACGACAAACAGCCAATTGATCAATCTAATTTTTATAAATCTTCGAAATAAGAAAAATACAAAGAATCCTCAAAATAGAGAACTTAAAATGAGACCTAATCCTTTTTCCTGGAATAAATCAAGGGGAGAGTAAAAAAATTACCTTTCTACCAGAAAACATCGCAATGATGATGTTGAAGCATCCAAAATTATAGGAAAAAACTTCGTTTTTTGATGTTTATAAACTTTATAGAGGTCTACCTCTGTAAAAGGTGTGGGGACGCGTGAAATTATTTTATACACAATTCGGTTAAATTAAATTTTTTATTAGCTCGAACACAACTCAGACAAACTTATTGGCTTATACACACCAAGTACGACTTAAACTACAAAGTAGCTAAATAGCCGGCACAAAAAACCTCGTTATACGTGAGGAAAAAGTCTGCTATTTTGACAAGTAACTAATTAAATTAAGTTAAGATACATGAACTGCCAAATCCAAGTCAAAGATTAGTGGAGCGAATTGCCTAATTGACCTGAAAACTGAAGTTTTTATTTATTTAATTTTAGTTTTCTACCGTGTAATTACTTCATTAAGAAATAGTAAAATATCAATTTTTAAAATTTTGTCGATTTGCCCCATAAGAGGTTGTGTATAAACCTATAAAAGTTTGTCCTAAGTTCAAGATGAAATATTTCAAAATTTTCCACGACTACAATGACGAATGATATTGTTGGATTCAACACATTTTGATCTATAAAAATAGTTATAGGTAATCTTTGAACTTTCCGCTCTAGAACCGCATTAACAATTAAAAATTTTATAACAAAAATTATATCTTTTTAATATAAAAGTTTGACAATTATTTTTCTATTCCATATATTTAAAAATAAGAAACAACTATCAACAATTTAAGAAATAAATGAATGGAAAATTATGCTAGGCTTCATTTTAATAAATATTCTCGAACTTGTATACTATATATAATGTTATTAATTACATCATTCACGAGAAGAATGTTTATAAGATATGTATCGTTATCTATGAGAACCGCAGTTATCACTTCTATTGACATGTGCAATTCAAATAAAACGATGGTCGAGTATTAAGTAAGCGATGTGCAGACGATTGATTGTAAGAAAATTTATTGAGCTGTTCATAGTTGCACAATATTATTATTTGAAAGAAATGGTAACTGCATAAATGTAATTATATAAATCAATACTGAATACTCAATGTTCAACAGCAGTAATATAATATGACCGACGTACGTACATTTATAAACAAACTTATAATAGTGATAAGATTGAAAGATGATCAATAAACTAAAAGTACATACAGTTTGCGTAGTTCAAAAAGCGCTTTTATTTTTTCAAAACAACTTCATAAAATATACTTACAAATGAATGAACAATATCAACATAAACTTAATCAATTTCACTCGTGCAATATTTCAAACTTATTGAAAATGATTTATTTCTTATAAACAATGATAAAGTACGTTCAAGAACGACTTCTAAGATCTCGATGTGGTATTTTGAAATCCCAACGAGGCGTATTATCATTGCGTGACTGGCATTTTAACATTTGCTACTATTCGCTGAGTGTTTTGATGATAGTTTTTCCGCTGCGGTACAATGGATTGGACTAAATGTTTGCTTGCTCTTGTCGCATTTGCTATAATAGCCTATAAGTATTTGAAGAGAGTTCACAGTCATTGGAAAAAACAAAATGTACCATTTGTACCAGATCCTATTCCACTTTTTGGACATATGCTACCGACTATTATCGTCAAGGAAAATATCATTGACTTTGTCGACAGAGCTTATAAGAATTTCAATACGAGCATGGTCGGTTTCTTCTTCATGCAACAGCCTGGTATAATTCTACGTGATCCTGATTTAGTGAAGAGTGTTTTGCAAACCAACTTTTCGAGTTTTAATAGCAATGTCATGTCGCTCAGTGAAAAACACGATCCGGTTCTGGCGAAAAATCCGTTTTTCACGAGAGATCCCCATTTGTGGAGACCAAGGCGTAATAAGGTATCCAATAATCTAACCGGAAAAAAATTAAAGCTCCTGTCAGTCATTATTCAGGAAGTTTGTAATAAAATGACAGTGTTCGTCGATCGCAAAATTCAAGAAAACAACGGACAGTACGAGTGTGAGCTCAAAGCATACTTCTTAAGATACACAGGTGAAGTTGTAGCTAACTCAGCTTTTGCGATCGAGGGTGAAAGTTTTGAAGACAATCCGAACAAATTGTCCTTTACCAAGGTTAGTAAAACTCTGCTTCAACCATCGTTCATCAATGGTCTTAAGCAAGCGCTTATTTTCTACGTACCAATGGTCGCCGAGTTTTTCGGATTAAGTTTCTTGGACAAAAGAACCGACATCTACATGCGTGAAAATATCAAGACCATTCTCAAGAAAAGACAACAAGCAGGTGATGCGCCAAACGACTATTTAAAGTTTTGTTCAGAGTTTAACTCCGAGCTCGATGATATTCTCGCGGAAATATTCAACTTCTACATCGATGTCTACGAAACTTCGAGCACAATCCTGGCTAATATTTGTCACTGTCTCGCTCAAAATCAGGAAATCCAAGCGCAACTTCGTGATCACATCACGTCTGCGTTGAAAGATAACGAAGAAACCATCAGTTACGATTCGCTAAAGAACATGAATTACTTAGATCAAGTGGTATACGAGGGCTTGCGTCAGCTTCCACCTCTAGCTGTTCAAATGAAGTACTGCAATGAAGCAATTAGTCTCACGGGCCCCGATGGTCTGACTTGTCACTTAGAACCAGGAAATCCCGTGTTCATCCCGGTGCGAAGACTCCATCTGGACGACAAGTATTGGCCGAATCCGAACGTTTTCGATCCACTCAGATTCAGCGTGGAGAACCAAGCTAATAATAATAAATATGCATTTTTGGCATTCGGCGAAGGGCCAAGAATGTGTGTCGGCATGAGACTTGGCCTTCTGTTAGTTAAACATGCAATTGCGACGTTGCTCCTGAAATATTCCATTGAGCCTTCTGCAAAAACCAAAGTTCCATTGGAGATCGAACCATCTTCGCTTTTATTGAGTTTCAAAGGTGGCTTATGGTGCAAATTTAAATTACAAAATTAATTTTAAAATGTCGCTTTTCGATCGAATGATGTCGAATTCTGAAAAGTCGCCTTTGTAATATTTTGGTGCAAAAATGTAAATAAAATTATAGTAGAATGATGCTTGCATTGGTCAGTGAACACTTTCAACGATAATGTTTTTTGCCTTTTAAAAAGTATTAATAATTTGCTTATCGCAGTTGGTTATCCAAAAGGCTCCGTCTTGGCGATGAAAACATATGACTTGAGTATATCGTACAACTGATAGCGCTTACACGATTTGCACGAGAAGAGAGAAGGAGACATAGCGCTACTCATTCACATATGATTATAGATTGCGTGCAACCACTGTCATAGCTACCTATACGCTATATCGCTAAGTAAAGTGCACGTACGAGCTTGACGAGTCACTCTCGCTCTGGCCGTCTTATACTGATAAAACGTATCTTGCTGTCTATATCCAAACTTCGTCATCAGCAACGACAACAGTTCGAGAACACTTACTCATATAAGATACATAAGCCAACTATTGTACGTTGTCAAATACAAAAATATATCAGGAGCATTAGAATACAGGAGGGAGCCAAACAAAACTGCCGCGCGGGGCGATAAGCCGACTCAGAATTGGAAAAATTAAAAAGGAAAACAAATTAAGGATTTACTATTTGAGGTAGATCTTACTCTTTCCTAGATTTTTCCTCGATCAGAAACTAATTTTTCTTCTTATAATAAAAAAAGGAGAACTAGGAGCGTGGAAGCTGAGAGAGCTCCTGGAGCCTCGCGTTTGAGCTTTTATATCCTTTGGGGGTAGTGGATGAAAATCACTTCTCTTGGGCCCTTGATGCAGCTTCGGTTCAAATGATGGGAGTGGTGGCAAATTTTAAAATTAGGAAACCTAATCGTGAATTTTTACGGAAAGCGAGGGCGGCACTCTTTTAATTTGCGCCTTTTTCTCCATAGATGGCTCTCAAGGTATCGTTTTCCTGGCCAATAGTGATGCTATTATTTATAACTATTTCGCTAAAAGTTACTTACGTAATTATTACTTAAAACTACTTAAAATTACTAACTACATTCGTTTCTTCAGCCATAAGTCAAAATTTACTATTACTTGCACATATTTAATTATAATTATTTATAACAAAATATGCATTTAAAAGGAGGACCATTATGAAATGTATATGTGCTATTATAATCATAAATTTTGACTTATATGGATACAAACAATGATTATTTAATATTACTATTAATGAATACCTGGATACTTAAATTTATGTAGTGCGGTTGATAAACGTAATTTTTTTTGGAATATATTCTCTTTATTTCAAATGCATAGTTTCCATCCATTATTCTTTGTATTAAAATTCCATTTCTTCGACTTGAAAAGAAAAATTCTTTGTTTGATAAAATGCAAGAGGATAATTAACCATATTTTTACTCTCATTCTTATTAAATCTTGCGAAACTACAAATGAAAGAGATTCAAGAGTGAAATCCAATACTCTTAAATAAAAACTATCTCAAGTCAATGATTTTTGCTTTTCAGCGAACCGTTAACCGTTGCGTTTCGCAAGCAAAATGTTATCAGAAATAATTGAGTTGAGATAGTTTTTATTTAAAAGTATTGGGTGTCACTCTTGAATCTCTTTAATTGGTAGTTTTGCAAGGTTTAAAATGCAAGAAGGCTTTGTTTTTTAGATGAGTGATACATATTATTTATTAATTATAATTGACTAAACTCGTAAGTTTTACGTTGGTATTTGTTTTATACAAGAATTTCTAACTGCATAACAGAACAAATTTTTGGAAGGAAAAGCGAAAACAGGATATCGAGAAAAAAAATTAAAAATTTACGAATCTCTTGCAGCACGTTTTTTTTCAGGTGGTTATCAAAAATGCTAGGCCCTGTGCAATTTTTTTTCTATATAGGGTTTCTAATGCACGAAATATCTACTATGCAACTTTCGAGAAAACTTAAGATTCGTGTTGAGAACGCAGATGTTTGAAAATCAAGGGAAAGTAATTTATTTTTCTTGACTGAATCGTAGAAATAAAATAATTATACATGAGAATAAATAAGAAGAAATCGTAAAGACATTGGGTAAAAAGTTAGTAAAAAGTGAGTGTATATTTTATTCTTACTTATAAGAAAATTTTCGTATAAGAAAACGTAAAATAGAAAACGATAAATTCATTAATATAATAATCATAATAGTATATCAACTTATAATGTAACGCTTAAAAAAGATATAAAAGCAATCTGAAATATAGATTTGATATACAGAATATATATAGATATATCGCTTCTACTGTAACTATAATTAAGTTATTTTTAGAAAAGGTATATATTCACATTTTTATCATTCGATCATCAACCATTACATTCGACCAGTTGTCAATGAAGTAAGTTTTCATTCTTACAACTTGTGAATTGTTTAATTCTGCAGGCAGAGCAGTTCGTAATACATGCCTTTCGTCTCGATGAGCTCATTGTGAGTGCCACTCTCGGCAACGGTACCGCGATCGACGACGCAAATCTTGTCCGCGTCTTTCACCGTCGACAATCGATGCGCGATGAGTATGCAGGTCCTGCCTGCTTTCGCTTCATCGAGTGCAGCTTGAACGACCTTGAAAGAAGAAAACAGCTCTCGTCGTGATCTTCCCTTTGTATTGTTGGCTAGTGATCTCGAAGCACGTACCTTCTCGCTCTCCGAATCCAGAGCAGAAGTAGCCTCGTCGAGCAGCAGGACCTTGGGATTCCTGAGTAAAGCTCTGGCAATGGCGATTCTCTGCTTCTGTCCGCCCGAGAGCTGCGTGCCGCGATCGCCCAGCGTGGTCTCGTAACCGAGCGGCAGTGACGATACGAAATTGTGTATGTTCGCCTTTTTGGCGACGTCGATTATCTCGGCCATCGGCACGTCGCGGTCGTTGTCCCCGTAGGCAATATTTTCGGCGATGGTGCGCGCGAATAGCGTTGGTTCTTGAGAGACGAGGCCCAGTTGCTTCCGCAGTTCTGATTGCGTTGCGCTTCTGATGTCAGTTTCACTCAACTCCTGACGAATTAAAAAAGAAAAAAAAAAAACATAAATGAAAACTGAAAATTGACGGATCGTTTTATTCGTAAAGTCGTGATTTATACTAACGATAACGCCAGAATTGGGATCGTAAAATCGTTCGAGCAGCTGAATGATCGTACTCTTTCCACAGCCGCTCGCACCGATAAGAGCGACCGTCAGTCCGCTAGGAATATTGAGTTGCAGTTGATTCAGGACAGCAACGCCGGGTCTCGTTGGATACTCAAAGCTCACTTGTTTATAATCAACTTTCGCTTGGCTGACCCAATTATCGTTTGACGCAGAGTCAGGATCTTCGATCGCGGGTTTCCTCTCGATTAGATTGATTATCTGCTCGGCGGCTATCAAGCCTTTCTGCAAGTTCGGCGCGAAAGCCGATGCGTTCGCCACCATTACCGTTCCCATGATGAGTGCTTGAGATACTCTGCAACGAGGAGCGAGATTAAAGCGCGAACTTGGACGGACGCCTTCGAGGAGCGCGATGCGATTACTTGAAAACAGTGGCGTAGAACAGGCCGTCGTTTTTCATGAGATATCCACCGTAGTACATGCAAGCTGCGTAAGCGAAGTAACTTACAGCTCTTGCCATACCAAAGACCAATCCCCTGAAGTGCGTATTCCGCACGCCTAAGTTCAGCGAAGGTACCATCGAGTTCACGTAGGACTGAAAGAACGTATCCTCCCTGCAGAGACCGATGACCGTGCGCACATTGGACACCGCTTCGACGGCAATCTGTGAAAAATATCGCGTGCGACCTTTATAACCGCGTTGCCGTTTGAAAGCGCGCCGCCAAATTATCGTCAGGTGTACCTTCGTCGAAACCTCGAGAGAGTTGTGGTAGTTCAAAGTCTCCTGTCTGAACAGCAAACCTTGGGCGTAAGTCACCACCATGATGAGCGGTATGAAAGTCATACCGACGAGACCCAACCGCCACTCGTAATACAGCGCCAAACCGACCGACAGAGCGATCGTGCTGCAGGATTGAAAGATGGTACCGATTCGTTGACCGATCGCACCTTGAACGGCCGCCGCGTCCGTCGATAATTTCGAGCACAGGGCTCCGGTGCCGTTGGCTGGTTCGTCGTACCAACCGACTTCTTGGCGCAGCATCGCTTCGAATAGATGGCCTCGCAATCGCATCGTCAGCCGTTCACCCGCGATCCGGAATAGGTAAACCTGCAAGGATCGATCGACAAATATTTGCCGTTATATAGTTGTACGATGGCTTTTCATTGAATCGTCCGTAATGTTGAACGCTCGTTATCGCACGAATAATCCCGACTAGTTTAACGTACATCGCGTAGCTAAAATCACCTTAGGTTTTGTACAGCGTCAATTTGGCAATCGCATTATGGATTATTGCGACGATAATAATCGATCCGACAAGATAAAATCATGCAGGTTCACGCGATCGGTTTAAAAAATTCTCAGAGTACGCGAGCACTCCGCGACCGATCGTTGTTTCTTATTACTCACTTGAATAAAACTGGTAGACCCGATTAATATTCCGGTGATGACGAAGTACAAGGAATATACGTTTGTTTCACTCCGCACATCGTCTGGATTTGGGCGGGATAAAACCTGCGCGTTAAAGAAAAATCATGATCTCTGATTTATCGTGTTATGTATTTTTTAATGGTAATATCATTTTATTTACCCCAATAATATCACCGAAGAGTATTGAAAATAGCGGCATGGAAAATCCAGTAACTATTGATGTTATACAAGCTATAACGTTGAAAAGCCATTCCTGCTTATTTAATTGCAAAATACGCCATGTTGATACGCTTGGCTCGTCAGACCTGGACTTCTCGATAGTCTAAAAAATGCATTTTATTTGTTCATTTTTTCGAAAGCTCAAATGACATGGAAAATTAAAATTATAATGAACGATACCTCCGTCTTTTGACGAATCAGTTCCATTTCTTCATCCTCGTCAACTTGATTGCCAGTATCGTTGCTTTGCCCACCTGTAGGGACAATAGAAACCTAAAAGAAGGACCTATTTGAACGAGTTCCATCGGTAGAATAGACATGCATATTTGACCTATAAAGTAAGTTTGGTAACTCTTACCTGAGCAGTGACTAATGAATGATAATGTCCTTTGAGCTGCATCAAATAATCGTGCTTTCCTTCTTCGACCACGCTACCCTTCGATATCACGATTATTTTGTCAGCGTTCCTTATTGTTGAAAGTCTGTGAGCTACAATGATTGTGGTTCTTCCTTTATGTGCCTGCATTAAACGATATTACAAATCTATCAGTTTTTGTTTATTTTTGAAAGAATAAAAAAATCCAATAAGCTTACTTTATCCAGAGCAGCCTGAACTTTTGATTCACTACGTGTGTCAAGGGCCGATGTCGCTTCGTCCAAAAGTAAAATGTGCGGATTTCTAATAAGCGCTCTTGCAATTGCTATTCTTTGCTTCTGTCCTCCCGAGATTTGAGTGCCTTTTTCGCCAACCAAAGTATCGTATTTCTGCAATAATTGTAACGATATTTTATAGGTACTTTGTGAAAAAATAATATCCGACTATCGAGACGAATCAGTCTCACGTTGGGTAATTTCATGATGAAATCGTGCGCATTTGCTTCTTTCGCGGCTTGAATAATTTTTTCCATGGGCGCATATAGATCGCCATAACGAATATTCTCGGCTACCGTCGTATTGAAAAGTACTGGCTCTTGGCCTACGACACCAAGACAACTTCTCAGCCATTTCACATTCAGGTCTTTAAGGTCGTAATTGTCGATGAAAATCTGCGAAGGCAGACACATTCGTAAAAAGGGGCAGAAAACAAACGTTATTCTTCAATCATACCTGTCCGTCTTTAGGATCATAAAATCGTTGAAGTAACTGAATACAGGTTGACTTTCCGCATCCCGAACTGCCGACTAGAGCGACCGTTTCTCCTTTTTTCACGGTGAAGCTCAAACTTTTCAAAACCTGTAGTGGATTATTGCAGAGTAATTTCAAACTGACGCAACCGGAAATTCGTAAGAACCAAACGCAGAGTTACCTTCACTTCAGATCTCGAGGGATACTCGAAAGAAACACTTTTGAATTCAATCGAGCCTCTGACATCAGTCGGCTTCTCTCCGTTATCGGACAAACTGTCGATCGCAGGCTTCCGTTCAATTATGGAGAAAACTTTGCTCGAGGCAGCTTTCGAAACGCCGAAAGCTTCGACGAACGGCGTGACAGCTCCTAAGCTCATGGCGCCCATCATTATGCTGAAGAATACCTTTATTAAAAGCATGCAAGTATTTACAAAATTCACAGTTCAATGGAACCCTCTATTGAATCAGTGTATCATCCGAAGTCTAACGTTGGCTCGACCAATGTCTTGTGAAGATCGCTTATAATAATCATTCGACTGGAATTGCAAATCGCAAAAGACAACGAAATCTTTGTTAATAATTAATTCGTCCGAGCGCGCGATAAGTACAATAAAATGTCATCATCACTCGTGATTGGACCAATTGAAGAGATCCGTCGATACGCGCTACTGCTCACCGTGGTCATGGACGTGGCATTGTAAGTCTGCAGCTCGTGAGGCAAGTGCCGCTCGTCGAGAATGAGAGTGACGCCATACCAGAAAGACAGCGCGTAGCTGCAGTACATGCTCAGCCAGAGCACCCCCAGACCCACTCCCGACAACAAGCCCTTCTTCGCGTTATTGCCGTAGGTCTTGTCGAGGCTGCCGGTGTATCGCGCGAGCTCCTTGCGCTGCCCGGCGAATGCCGCCACAGTCCGAATGCCAGCGAGCACTTCTTCGGCGATGGAGCCGGCAACGGCGTACACCTCTACTTCGCGGCGGGTCAGCACCGAGCTCACGCGCACGATGAAAGCGAGGACGATTGTCATTATCGGCACCGTCGCCATGCACACCAATGTCAGCTTCCAGCCTATGCCGAATGCCAAGGCTATGCTGCCAATAAAGGCGAATAAATTGTGCAGAAACATCGGCACTTTCTCGCCTATCCCGTCTTCGAACTTTATTACGTCCCTGCAATTTAATAATCATCACTCAACGTCAATCATTTTTTCTTAATGGATTTTCTTTAAAATAGCTATTTAGACAGATCCAGCGGAAAAGTCAACGAGATAAAACAATTAGCAATTTAATTTTATAATCTTTCGTATGACGGTCCATCCGCGAACAGAATGAAATGCAGAGTTATGATTTTAGATCAGACTTAAAATTTGGAGCAGTATCCGAAGCTCTTTTGAATTCTGATAAGTTGCTGTAATGATGCAATAGTAAAAAAAAAACCTAATCCACTTCATAACGAAAACAGGTAGATTAGCTGTAATCGCAAGCGTTCGAATTCCTTCATCTAGAAATTTGAGACTAGAATTTTCGAAATTCAATTGATTTCAGTGTTACAATTACAGTCGACCGATAACATCTGCGTACGAGGGACGCAAAACAGCGATAGTAGACTTTGTACAGGATTATTCGCATTAATCTTCGGTTTGTAAGCTTATTTCTACAGGCACACTTTATTACAAAGCGCCGATTTTTTCGGTTCCGAGCTTATTAGAATACGTCGTTTCGCGATGACCGCGTTAATACTTCAATATTTAAATAGCAAAACACGCTGATTTTTTTATTTTCCGTCAAGATGCCTAATATAATACATTAACAAAGTTTGAAGAAGCTCTACTACTGTGAATTTTACAAAGTCGTCGAAAAAATATCCGGATTCTAGAAAAATTGCATGACTACACGTAAGATTTTCGCAAACAAAAACCACGTTTTGTTCTAATTAATTGGTTATTAGAGCGCGACCGAAATTCTTTCCAAGTGCACGTAATTCAGTGATTTGCCCATAAACAGCAATGAAAAGTTTGTCGATAATAATCGTATAATTGTTTTTTACCGAAGTTCCACGTGGCTAACACAAAGAGAATCCAAGACCGTAAGAAACTTTGGCTTGGATTGTCACGGCAGCACGCGTCCGTTTCGGCAGGTCGTTGCCGTAATTAAAGCAGATATTTGAATGCACTTGCCTTCCTCGAAGATAGGGCAAATGAAAATCTTACTTTGCATTTACAGGCCGACTTTGTAATGGTAATAAATCAGCGCTTCTGAAATCTCGTGCGTTTATTTTTATTACTGAAGACTGCCTGAGATTTTTTCAGTGTAATGATGACTTTCCTACAATTGTTCGTTACGAACAATAAAAGTCCTTATTAAAAACTCAAAGTTCGTCGTCCGGCTTGTTTATTATCACAGGTACTCCAAAGATACGTGCATGCGTAATTGTCAGAGTTGCATCTTGTACGTTGCATTTCGTGCTCGACAGAGTATATACGCACACGGAACAGAAGTCATTTAATTGGCCTTGAATAAATGCCCACACGAGTACACGCGTCTTCGCGCATATAATTCCAGTTTATCAATCATCATTAAGGAGTTCGTGCATGAGCCTTTAATCAATCCGATGCGTATCTAGAATGTTGCTGGCCTAACCGCCGTAAGCAGATGCATGTTTTTTTAAGGACAAGCGCACAATGAGACCACGTTTACTTACTCCGTCAGTCGACTGGCCACTTCCCCGCTCTTCGACACATCATACCAAGCGATATCTTGATGTAACACCGAGCGAAGATACATCGTCCTAACTCGAAAACTCTGCTTGAGCGCAGTATAATTAAACAGCATTATGCCGATATAACTGAACGCCAGCAAGATGGATCCAATTATGCAATTTCCAATCGCGAATTTCGTCACGGCATCCATGATAAAATCGGTCGACGTGTTCGTGGCTGCTGATGTGTTTTCCGCTGCCAGTCCATCCGGTATCGTTATATTTTCGGCTAACGACACGTTGCCGCCTATGATGGCTAATTGCGCTTTCACCATATCGCCCACCAGTTTACCGAAGATGTAAATATTGGTTGGAATGGCTACACCAGTGACGATGGCGGTTAACGTTCCGAGAACCATTAAACATTTCTCACAGGCCGTCGAGTATTTAAACTAAAATGATTAAATGTTGGCGTTTATTGTCATGTAATCGACGTGGAAAGTTTTAATATAGGTATTTTGGTCCTCTACAAAAGCAAAAGTTTCCAGCATATATTTTTCGTTTTTATCAAACAGAATATCGATTCTAAAATTATCAACGTTACACCGAAAAACGTGAAGAAGTCACCTCGCATGATTTAAATAAACGTTTATCGACTAATCTGAGTTAAGTAGAATGTTATAATGTTAAAGTAGCGACGCTAGGAATCACATGTGAATAAGTACTTTGCCGTTAATTTGTTTTATTAATATAAGATAAGACATGAGATTCTGTAATAAAACAGCGTTGTGCTTAACTTGAAGAATTATACTTACCAATTTGAAAAATGGTACGGGTGTAGATGACTTACATTCTCCTTTTGTCGTTTTCGTCTTTTTTTGCCTAAAATATTAAAGGATGATCGAATTTATCCCCGAAATAGTTCCGTCACGCTTACACTGAAGAAAGTAACTTGCGACAAAAGGATCCTTTTACTTATAAAAAATAAACAATCTCAAACAGAACTTAGAGAAATTCCTTTTTGCACAAGAAGAGGTAATTTTGAAACAAGAGGAGTTATTTATTTATTTATTTTTTTTTTTAAGAAACCCTTGTCGATATATCAACGACTCATTTGGTCAAAACAGAAATAGAACAAACGAACGGTCTAAGGAAAATTACTCACGATTCGCCAATGTAATTTTTATTCTCATCCTCGTCGGGCTTCTCGTCTCGTTCCTGAGCATTGATAACTTTGATAGGACGTTGCAATATCACGGTGTCTTTCATACTACCAGCTATGGTGAGCCGTAGATTTTTGTGATTTCTCAAGTCGTGCGCTTTCTTCGTCATCGTTGCATCTGATAAACGCAAGAAGAATGATCTTGTTGAGCACGCGAGCGAGCTGACGACCGATCGCCACGGTTGCGGATATCGACTGTGAAACCGTCTGCGACTAGTTCCTCCAATATAATCGAATTACGCACACGTGTAATCTTATCACATTGAGAATTCGACGTAGCGCTTTGTCACGATCGATAAGATTTATTGTTTAAAAAGGGTACACCGCTTGGCTATTCGATATTAGCTCGTGAATATTTCTCTTTGTCAAAGTTTTGCAGGAACGTTCAGTCTTGCGAATAAAAATTTGAATTACCTTCTCAAGAGATAAATTATTTAAAAAGAGCTTTCGTCTAAGTCAAATTAGTAATTAAAGTCTTTGTAGGCTCCAATTGACCTTAATACTCCCAATCTTCCCGAATCCCGCAATATTTTTGAAATTCCACGTTCCATCCATAGCTTTTCGCCGGTCCAAGCTTCCATTATTCCGTCGTCTAATTTTCTTGGAGACGTGATGCGAGGCGAGGTTGGGAAGAAGTATCGTTGTAAATTGTCTACCACGATTCGGAACTTTATTCATACTGTTTTATACGAATTAAACGCAACGACGGGTTTCATATAAGTTTCGACTATTTTTTAAAATAAATCTGACTGGTTATGTCTAATGATCTCGTGAGTTTAGATGACATAATCAAAAAGTCCAAACCGGGTGCCGCAATGAGAAACCGAGGAGGGTAAGCACGCTAATTGTCTTTTATACGTTTTATTTTAAAGTGGCATTTATTTATTTGTTCGATCTATTTTATGTCTTGGAGCTATATTTTAGTATTCTTTATCTTTAAATTTAGTTGAGTTATCAATTATCACTACGGGCTTCATTTAGTTACTAATTATTTATTTATAAATGGCTTCTAATATGTTTATGTATCAAAGGTCATGCGGTAGATATTAACTAGGACATTTTAATATAAATTCTTTGTGACATAAATTTAATATGTATATAAAGTATGGAATTTCTTTTAATCAATATTCCATTTTAATTACATATTATAACCTCAATTTTTTATATATATACATATATACACCATACACATACACATACATTTATCAAAAATTGAGGTTATAATAATATATGTGTGTGTGTGTGCATGACATTTAAACTCGTAATTATAATCATAAGAATAACATTTTTTTAATTACAACTTAATTTGAAATCAAATAAACACAAAAATTTGAATGTACTTACATGAAGATTGACTACTTTTCTAAAATCATGCTTATTCCTAATTGATAACAATTTTTTTTTATATTGCAGACCTCGTCAGACTGTTGTTAAGAGCAAACCAAAAGTCAATGGAACTGTTTCAAGTAGACCAAAAACATCCATTGAAGATGCTCGATTTAAAATAATTCAGAAGAAAAGAAAACACATTGGAGATGCCAGAGAAAAACTAGCTCAAATTGCAAAACAGAGTGATGCTCGCTTGAAATTGGAAAAACTTAGAGCTACTACGACCAAGAAAGATCTTGCAAGCATTTCACGCAAGACTGGACGCAATGGTCGTATTTCTCTGACAACCAACAAACCACCACCTCCTGTGCATATTCCACGTTCAATGCCACCAGCTTTTATTCCACCACCAGTAAGGACTTTGAGCTATAGGCCACCACCACCTATATCAGAACCACAGTATATGAATGCAATGTTAAGAACTTATGCTAATGGTATGTACATTCATTCAATTAATGCTAATTATTATAATCCTAGTTAGCTACAAAAGGTTTTACTATTGCTGAATACTTATAAACACATAGATAACATATAGTTGCAAATGATAAACTTTTTAAATTATTTCATTAATTGTACTTTACAATCGATTTCTCTAAAAAACAAGATTTTAAGTATTTTTCAAGTGACTTATCTAATTTTCTATGATTTGTGTATAATTCCACTAAGACAGTTTTTTGCACAAGTGTTTCATCAGAAACCTTATCATTAACGTAAAAGTTTTTTATTTACTTTAGAAGATATAGCACTTAAAAGTGGTAAAATTTTAGATTGGTAAACAGACGTTTCGGTTATGATTCATTAATGGGAAAACTGTATTCTGTAATGTCTATACTCTTTTTATTGATTAATCACTTAGTACTATTAAGTTAATTAACTGTAGATCATGTAAAATTATTCTTATTTATACATTTCCAGAATATTTAATGAACCACCAAGCTCCACCCCCTATGAGACGAACAGTTAGCAATGACTATGCTCCATCACTGCCTCCTCCTCCCCCAGTGTTTAATATCAAACCAACACCATATCGTGATTGGGATAAGCCACCACTACATTCAACTTCAAGTTCAGTCTCAAGAAGTCAATCTTTGAGATCTTCCGATCATAGTAGACCACGAGATTATAAAGTGATTCCTCGTACTGACATGGTATGCTGTATACTCCTTGTATATTTCATTACAATACCAGAATTGTTAAACTTGATTGATTTTCATTTTTTCAATGTAGACTAAAGTACAATCAACACCAATTTACAAAGATGAGTGGAATTTCAGTTCTAAATCAAGGTACAAATGTCAACAGTAATAATTTTAAAATTTACCATCAAACCAGAAAGTTAATTAGATAAAATGAATTTCAGGACTATAATACCAGATGTAAACTCGAAATATTATCAAACAGTGAAAAGTCATAGAGATGTAGGAGTGAGATCGAGACTGCAGGCATCTCCTCCACCACCTACCAAAACCAGTCGATCAGCACCGACTGCAACACGGCTAAAGACCAGTTCTCAGTCAGGTGGATACCGTATTGTCGTATCTAATTTACAATCCAATGTAACTCAAGAAGATATCAAGGTATAATTTTAATTAAAAATCATTAATCCTTTATTGGTATTAATTAAGTAAACATTTTAGGAACTTTTCGAAGATGTTGGAGAATTACTTGTTTCCAGACTGGTTAGACCTGGAATTGCAGAGGTTATTTACAAAACTTTAAAAGATGCAAGTAAAGCTGTCGAAACTTACCACAATCGACAATTGGATGGACACCCAATGAAATGCCTGCTCGTGAATCCACGACCTAAAGGCAGTTCATCTTCATCTTCATCAAGCAGAACTCTTTCTCAGTACGTATTTTCGCGAATATCAATCTCATTTCATCGAATTAAACTTAACAAATCATCAGATCTTGTAATTATTCTCATTTTTTCCAGTTCAAGAAGCTCAAGCAGTTATGGGCAAGCTAGTTTGGGAGCTGTGCATCGTGCATTATTTGACCATTAGTGAATTTTCAATTTTGTTTCAATCATAAGGTCTTGCTAGTTTTTTTATTTGCTAGCGAGTGTACGAGAGCTTGTAAACTGCGCAATTCCATTTTTATTTGACGAGAAATCCAGAAATTCTAAAGCTTTTTCCAAATTTGCAAATTCGTTTTGTGCATGTAGTATCATCACATAAATAAATTAAGTTTGTTCCTAATATAATGTCACTTTCAATAAAGATTCCTTTTTGTGAATTTGTAGATTGCGAGTTTTTGTTTCTAATTACTTGTAATCCAACCTCTTTAGTAAGCTTAAAAACCAAAAAAAAATTCAGACAATAAAACAATTATTAACGAGTAGCTTTCTGATAAAGAGTTTATTTATTAATTCTTGTAAGATAATCACAACATTGTAGTCCATACCTGTAGAATACAAAAGCTAAAGTATACATGCATTCTACCAGACAAAAATTAGGCAAAGACCTACGTAATAATTATAAGAATAATAATTGTAAGAATAGTATAAATACACAATATCCAACGAGCTATAACCGTCTGAAAGTGAGACATGGATCCTCAATTGTAAATTTGTAACATTGAATGGCACATGATTAATTTGAATGGTTCCCTCTTTCTCTCTCTACATCCGATTGGCTCGCGTTCACTCGGCACTTAAAAAGTAAGAACATCAGTATATAGAGATACTTCGGATTGTTTTGTTTTCCTTTGATGGAACAAATAGACAAGACGATTTAACTCTGTCTTTGATGACCCGTCTTTGACAGTAAAAGATACAAGGTACAAAATATATCTAAAAAAATTAGAGATATAGGTGCCTATCTTTGTGTATGTGTGTGTGTGTGTGTGTGTGTGTGTGTGTGTGTGTGTGTGTGTGTGTGTGTGTGTGTGTGTGTGTGTGTGTGTGTGTGTGTGTGTGTGTGTGTGTGTGTGTGTGTGTGTGTGTGTGTGTGTGTGTGTGTGTGTGTGTGTGTGTGTGTGTGTGTGTGTGTTTATTTGTTCTTAAAGGTATTATAGTCTCTCAACTAGCGCCCACTCGTTTCCGTATATTTACAAAAGAAGAGAGAAAACGGTGAAGGGGGTCTAAGCTTGTAGCCACGACCGCAAGCCCCCTGAATACTGAAACGTCCAGCTGAATCGGAGGGGAAGAGAAACAGATTCAGTGACGCTGCCGGCGATGGTGCGCAGCCTTGCCGGTTTTGTTCGGCATGCGCAGCGCCTCGGCGTACGACATCTCGAGGCGGCGCAACTTGGCGACCTCCTCGGACGCGCTGCCGGGCTTGTAGTCGTCGTTGTCCCGCGGGGGGGTGGAGCAGGCGTCAGCCTGCGACTGCTGGTGCCTGGCCCTAGGCGACTTGCTCGGGTAGAAATGGGCCGTGTGGCCGTTCCAGTTGAAGCCGTCGGACAGCTCGGCGCTGGTGAGCGGCCGGAACTTCCGACGACCGCTGCCCTTCAGCTGCATGACTCGCGGGTTGATGGTCGGTATGATGTCGGGCGTGGTCTCGCCGGGCCTGCGCGACTTCTTGGCCGAGCCCTTCTTGCGCACCTGTACCTGCAGGTATTCCAGCGGCTGGCGCACCTGGGGCGCCTGCCGATGACTGTAGAGCTGCCTGTGCGCCGCCGGCTCGCCCCTCTTGGCGGGACTGTTGTCGGGCGTCGTCTCGTTCTTCGTCTGCTGCTGCTGCTGCTGCTGCTGCTGCTGGTCGGGCTTGGGTTTGCGACCGAACACGGGTGTGTGCACGCGAAACACGGGCTCCGAGGCGACGGACGATACGGCGAGCGAGGCGATGCTCCTCGTGTCGTCGGTCAGCTCGCTCGGCGCGTCCTCCGCGTAGACCGACACCAGCGGACAGTGCTCGGCCTTGGGCGTCAAGTCGCCGCCGTCGCTGCTGTCGAGCAGCGGTAGGTCGGTGCCCTCGTCTATGGCCTCGGCCGCGCGCTTGAGGACCTCGAAGATCTCGTTGAAGATCTTGCGGTACTCGGGCATCTGGTGGAAGCGCTGCTCGAAGGTGCTGTTGTCGTCGTAGATGCTGAACTTGTATTCCTCGCCGTCGGCTATCGAGCAGAGGAACGAGCCGGGTCGACCCTCGGTTTGCGTCGACTTGTTGCTCGTCTCGTCCGAGAAGCCCGACGAGGACGTCTCCGCCTCGGAGAAGTCGGTCGGCGTGATTGAGAAAGGCTTTTTCTTTAGGCTCGATCGGCCACTTTCCGGCTCCGAGCTGTTCGGGTTGTTGAATTCGCCCGACATTTGCAGCTCTTCCTGCAGTGACATGCCCGTCGGCTTTTGGCTACGCTTTTGTATTTTCAACAGGGCCTCGTACTTGTCAACTAGAACGCGGTAAGGATTGCTGTGATCGTCTTCCATAGCAAGCTTTTTGGTGCCGAACTCCTATAAAAACAGTCACTTGTTACTCCGCTAAACTCTCCTTTACACTTCTTAATCTCTTTATTAATTTTGTTTTCTTTTGTCAGCGTTTTTATTTACTTTTGTCCTTTCAATGATGATATGATGCATAAAAGCAACGTTTATCTAAATGCATTTCATGCAACATTAAAAAAGCAACCGAAATAGACATTGTGTTTATAGAACAATTAAGAACAGTGATTATAATTAGAAGCAAAAATGATCCCATTGTTATGATAATAGGCAAGGAAAGGAAAGCGGGGAAGGACGCCAGATTTATAGGACATACAATGAAAAGAAAACTAAGCGTTATTATGCAGTATAAAAATTTTATTTCTCAAAAACCATATAAATCTGGCATATATATAGTAATATATATGTACATAATGCGTATTTTTTTTTTATTAAAAGTACGACTAGACACATCATAGTAATACTTTTGATCATGCAACTTAAACAGACATGTACAATGGCAATCTATTTAAATGGTACAAGAAAGAATAATAATTATTTACAGTATAACTCAAAATTAATTTGGACTAACTTATAAATACTAATGATAATAATACGAAACTAACGAATAAAGCATCGTGATATGACTACCTGTAAAGTTGACGGATAAATATTAAAAGGACGGCGATTTGAATTCGGTTTAGCCGATACAAAGTACCTGCAAATTTTGATCATGCGCGAGCAATTCTACTAAAAGAACATATCTTACACGCTAAAATGTTACGCACGAAATTAAAAATATTAAAAATGCAACGGAATTTGAAGCATGGCTGGTAATAAGCTGGTAATAATAATTAATGTTACGACAATTAGTGAAGCACCATATTAATCGCATAATGATTAATGATTATAACGGCAAGAAGCGATAAATGTGTATGATTGAAAATTGCAAAATCTTGAACAGTTCACGTCGCTTTGTTTGAAATCTGCAATGCTTAAGAACCGCTTGGAAGGACAAATAAACATAATTAAACCGATAAAGCCGAATCTAGCACTAAGAACGAAATGTCGACATTTTCACGAATTAATCTGAAACGTATACCATTGAATTTCAAACAAACGGAAGACATCAATTGCAAAATATTCGATTGTTAATTTACACACAATTGGCTAATCGGTAATCATAAAACATCATTACATACGCTATAGCGAGGAACTGTACAGTACGCTAAATCACAGCGAAATCAACTTAGGCGTGACTTATATATCAATTATATAATGCGTAATAATAACACTGTGCCTTCATTAACGACATGCTAAAATTAATTTTAAAAAAGCGCAACTATTAAATTACATACATATTTCATTGACTCGTTGGTCAACGAAATGTCACGTCAAAATGTTACGATAGTGGAAGGTAAGATACATTAAGACTTGGTTTTATTATAATAAATGTGCGAGTTAGGAAAAGTGCTCGTGAAAAAGTGCCACGGCGATAATGTTCTTTTGGCCCATATTACTGGAACAACGAAGAACATGATCACTTTATGCACAACGTTCGGCACCATAACAAAAGGGTTAAGCATGTTCAAGCGATTAACCGAGTACAGCGGATTGAATAAGGCCAAGGTGTTAGGCGACCGTACTGGTTTGCACAGTTTCATGGGTTTGCTCGAGCTTCTCAAGCCAAAAAGATTGAGCAAATTGAACGTACGGCTGACGTTGAACAATCTCAAATGTCCGATCAGTTTGAAGGGATTGAGCAAACTGAACGGCTTGAACAGCAGTCGCGTATATTTGAGCAAGCTGACGAGAGCAACGGAGCTCGAGAAATCGAGCAAGAAACCCATGAACTTTAACATTTTGAAGGGATTGAACAAGCGCAAAAAAAATTTCACGGAGACGAGAAGCGAACGTAGAATCCATAAGCAACTTATTCTCTTCCAGATGAAACTAATGATATTCGATCGACCGCCAACAGCTGTAGCTAGACTACAACTTGTGGTAAGATCCTGGGAAAAATAAAAATTATTACTGTTAAAGGAAATCTCGTGCCGTGCAATCCCTTCCAACCGCACACGAGCAATTCAATTCCCTCTATGTGTCCTCTCCGCCGATTGACCACAACCTTCGTCGATGAAAAGTTAATCCATACAAGCGCGTCTTTTCACTTTCGATGGACGATTTATGACACCGACACGTCGTGCGTACGCGCTGCAAAGTCATTTAACTTTCCGAGCGAATCAACGGACGAAAGAGCTCCACGAAAATAACAATTTCTAATCGATCGGGATCGCGCGCGCGCGCGCGCGCCAACACGTACAACGCGCCAGCACCAAAAATCCCTCTAAATCCATTGTCTCCTTTCGAAGTGTGGCTTGATGAATTTGGCAAAGGTGGAAACGATAAGCGTGCGCATCGCGTGGAAGAGGAGGGTCTTAGATACCACACCACAGATCAGCAGCATGCAAAGGGGCAGAAAAGGCGAACGATAACGATGATGACAAAAGCGACAAACGAGACAACTGGCGTTTGCATCTGGCAGCAGCTCAACTCGTTCATTTGGATTGTTATTGTTTACCTGAAACGTGGTGTCGCCTTCGCGCAACGACTCGGGCAACGACTCGGCGAGGCTCAGCTCGTCGACTTCTTCCTCTTGGTCCAGCATTGCGGTAAGATCTTCTTGTACGCGCGGATCGGTGCCGCGCAAACAACGCCCGCACAGATTGCCTTGTCTGCAAACAAACGGGTTTTCGATACTCATTTGGAAATGATATCAGCTGCCGAGAATTTCAAACGAAAAGACAAAGAAAAAAAAAGAAAATTCCAGCGAGCGAAACCACGAGAAAAAGAAAATACGCGCGTCATCGTAAATCATAACTCGAGGGGGTCGTCGCAGTCAAGCAGGCGTAAAAACGCGACGCGATGCCATTGAGATGTCAGTGTATACACAGACGTATCACGTCGACTGCGCCTATGTAATGACAGCTCTGCCGAGCGTAATGCGGAGTTGGCCGCGTTAGCGTTGGGAAGAGTCCAACGGATGAGCCTCGGCGGCCGACTCTGCAATTTGTCTGCAAATCTGTTTCATTGAGGACCCGGGCAGACAGGGCGTTCCCGTGACCCCGTACCCACCAGGTATATTAGGTACAGTAAACATCAATACAGCAATTTTCGACACGTTCGTTTCTGCACAGCACTTGAAATGTATTGCAAAGGTGGATGGGAATTCGGAATAATCGTCGGGACGAAACAGTGAACGGTACAATGGTTTTATTACCGTTGAACGAGCTTAACCGTGAAGCAGCTTCGGAAGTATGCATTCGAGTGTCCTCGTGTTCCGTCATTAAACCGAACGTCCCCCGATCGTGAGCTCGAACGGAAAAGCAACGCGAACGCAACGTATTTCTGACCTGACTTCCTCGAGCGTGTTAATTTCATCCTGGAGATTCTTCATATCCTGCGCCTTGGCCTTCCACACGTTGAGCTGCTCTTCCATTTGCGCGTGCTCGTGCAGCAAGGTGTCGAGCTGCTCCTTCAGCTGCTCGACCCTTTTCTGTTCGCGCGAACGCTGATGTCGACTCTCCTGCAGCTGCTTCAGCAACTTCGCTACGTCCTCGTCCTTCGACATCTCGGCGGCGATCTGCTGGAGGCGAGCCTCCTCGTCGGGGCTGAATCGTCTTGGTGACACAGCCAACTGGAACACGATTTCATTGCTGCGTTCGTCACGCGCGAAACGAAGAGAAAAACGAATTCGAATCCGCAAACTTGAAAAATGCACGCCGAGGGATGGGCACGAGAAAAACAGATCTCAAGCCGGCTTAAGATCGTTTCGCATACTCGAGCGCTCACTCTCCTCGAATTGCGTAATCCTGCGGCCAGGGGACTTACATTGTGTGTGCTGCCATCGCGCGACGATTCGGTCCTGTGGCTCAGCAGCAGCGAGCCATCCGCCGGCGATTGATTTCTCGTGCGTTCGCGCAGGATCGCCTCGTACTTGCCGTTCACCGCATCCAATTTCTTTTGCAAATCGTCGGTTCGCGTCTCGAGGTTGTCGATCGTCAAGCACTGACTGTGGAATCGACAAATTATTGACAAATCGGAGTTCGATTGCGTTACACCAATCGAGGAGACGAGTGCGACGATTTTACCTCTTTATCTGCTTCTTATCGTTGGCGTTCTCGAGCGCGAGTCTCTGATTTGCCCTTTCCAGGTCTTGTATGCTGACCTCCAGTTGCTCGTAGATTTTCAGCCGCGAGTCGTTCACCTCCCTGAGCGCGGCCGTCTGTTTTTTCATGTACTGCGCAAATTGCCGAGGAAAAAAAATTCGTAATGAATATATTTTTTGTCGATTCACCGTGTTGCGACAAAGTCAGTTTTCACCGCCACGGGCACATTCAAAAGTGAAGGTCGAATGGCACGCGTAGCAAAATACACGCGTCATTAGGTAGAAAAAAAAAACGCACGAAAGAAGTATACAACGTAAATTCGTTCGAAGGAAAAAATAATATCCGCGCGTAATTGTCTCACCTCTATCTCTTGAGCCTGATCTTCGATCGTGCACTGGTGAATCTTGATGCAGTTCTCAAGTTCCTTGTTGCGCTCGAGGAGCGTCTTGCCGAGCTCAGCGGCCAGCTGCAGATCTGCAAGCAAAATTCATAGTTCAAAGAGCACGAACGAAGAGAAAAGTCCAAGGGAGTGGACAACTCTTTGCAGCGCGACGAGACAAGGGCGTCGTGGCCCATACTCGGAGGTGTCGCGCGAATTAGCCGCGGCCGAGCAATCCGCGCGGGGCTTTGAAGAATGAACAAAGCGACTGGCAGGCCATGACGAATCCGCGGGCATCTGTCCCTGTCCGCGCGACGCCGGCATGTGGCGCACGTGCGCGGCCGATCGAAGAGCGTCCCGGCCGATTTTCCGTAGTGCACTCGCGCCAGAGAGAGAGAGAGAGAGAGAGAGGAATGCGCACTTGGGTGAAGGACCTCTGCCGCGCGTTCCGACCGGCTCTCTCGCTCCGGCTACCGTTTTGTTCCTCTGTGTATCTGTGGCCGCAGTTCAATCTGTTGTGCGTGACGCGCTCGAAGCTGCGCGGCGCTGTTGTTTATTTGCCAGCGCGTTTGTACGGCAATCGAATTTTGATATTCAAGTCGACTTTCCCAAGGCACACCAGAAGCAAATTACACTGTCGTGAGCGCATACCACCTGCATACTGTAATATATACTGATTGACATTTTCATCAAGCCAGAGAGAAAGAGAGATAATGAAATTTCCTTGCGCGCATTTGTTGTTTTATGTTTTGTCGGCTCGCGTTGTCCCGTAACTCTAATGATAATTCACTCGTACCAAGCGTATAATTTTCAAATTATACCGAAACAAGCCGAAAGAATACGACAGACCGTAAGTGTCATCTTCCTGACTTCCTTCTACCAAAGCCGCAACATGCCATCATTACCACTACTTTTCTTCCTTTTCTTTTTTTTTGCCTACAACGCAGAAGAGGCATGAAAATTATAACGGATTTATACGAGTTCTGGCGCACTACCGACAATTGGAATCCACGTTAAAACACAAAGCAGACGGAAATCGGTGCCGAGTTTCTTACGGCAGCGACGTCGTTCTCCCGAGCGGACGTTTTAGCGGCGCGTCTTACTTTGCGCGCTCCGCTCCGGTTTTGCTCGCGACAAGTCGTCTTCCGCGCCGACGGTATTTTTCGAATTGGAAATTCCACGGCAAGGCTACTTGCCGGGCGCAGCGGCACTGTACGCTGTCCGGACGTTAATTCGCGACCCGTGAAGTTCATAATCGACGTTGAATTTCGTCGAGTCAGCGAAACGAAAAAAGTTAGATTGGAGTTCTCGTGTGCGATGGAAGCCCACGACTCGCAAGACGATAAGAAATCTCCAATAATAGCACTAATCGTGGTCAATCAACGAAAATTAATATCGATTTTGAATTTCGCGGGTCGCGAACGAACGGCCCGGCAGTGTACCTACAAACCGCGAGACCGCGCGAATAGAGCCATGCGGCGATGGAACGATTGGCGCGCACGGGAGGCACTCGGCTGCGAATTGGAATGGAGCGTATAACGCGCGTAACGCGAGGTGATGCGCGCGGAGGCAAAGAGCATCGATAGAAAGTGGAGAGGAGGCTCGTCTTGCTCCAATAAGCGAGAAGCATTCGACGACCGTCGATAAGCGCACGTAGCGCGGGCGGCGATCGCTCGTTATTAGCGCAGTTACGCCGTGTCGTTGCCGCCGCGAGGAGGCCCGCGCGAACACGCCTTGCGAACGTGGACTGCGGCACACTGTCGGTCCAACGCAGAGCCGCGCATCTCTCCTCGGATCAGGGCAGAGTCCTCCGGTTGTCTCGGGAGGATTATCCGCGACGGCCGCCGTCGCGATGATTTACGGCTGCGCGCGCTATTTTATCAACCGGCTCGCGCGCGACGACACGCGCCGTTCCAAAGTTCAAGTGGCTCGGCGCGATCGCGATCGCGACAGCGATATTATTTACCTTCGGGTCCGCGCAGACAGTCGAGCTCAATTGAATAGTCCCAGCAGTCGAGAGAGCTGAGCTGGGGAGACTGCGTCTCCCAGACGATGTCCATGCTCGTCTCGCCATTCATGGTCGCGACCGCGAAATCGCCGTCGCACTAGCCCCGGGCACGAGCGCGAGCGAACCGAGGCGACGGAAGTCACACGGGGCCACACTGCACGCGCGGCACTCGACGGCAAGCTCGCGACGACACGAGTGGTCAAAGCGACAACGCCACCGGCATGGGCGTCCAGCCAACGACTCAGCGTTCAGCGGAGATGAGCGGTGGAGCAGCCACGGCGACCGATCGGCGTGAGCGCGCGGGCACAACTGAGGGTTGCCGGGGACCGATGTTCTGTGAAATGGGAAAGGCGAGCCTCTCCGCTTGGGGTCTCTCACTCCCACCTGTGCTCTCTCCCCACTTGCCGCCGAGCGCCGCCGCTGCAGCGTCTACCTGACACGGCCGCACGCAGGTAGCAAAGCTCCATCCCGCTCTCTCTCTCTCTCTCTCTCTCTCGCTCTCGCTCTCGCGCGCCCTTTCACTCGCGCGCGAAACGCGCAAAAAATACGCGCGGGCGGCTCGCTCGACGCGGCGAGCTTCCGAGGTGCTTCCTCTTGGGCGCACGCTTTAATTAGCATCAGGCTCGTCCGCCGGCTTCTCACTTGGCGGCGACGGACCGTGGGTTCTCCTCTTACCAAGGGACGCGCGTCCCGCGACGACCGTTCGAGCAAATGCCAAATCGCGAACGGTCGAGGCACTTTACGCGCGTCAACGCGCCGATTTCTGTGGCTGACCACAGTCCGCGCTATCGACAGTGTATTCAACGCTAATGAGAGTCGGAACGAGCTGCGCTGCATAAATTTCAATTTCCAATTCGACGAGTGCCAGGTCAACGGGTTCTCTTCGGTCGCGCCATTGTCGACGATGTACGCGGCGACGCGGATAAGCGTGAGGCGATCCGCTTTTTTCTCCCCTCCCGATCCTCAGCGTGGCGACATTCGCCCGAGAAAAACCGGCCGACACGCCCGCGCTTCGCCGGTGCCAACTCGCTTTCATCCCGCACGCGCGCTCGCGATGCGGAGCAAAGATACAGAGAACAAGAATCGACGCGCAGCTCGCGGATATGTTGTCCCGGCGAGCGGAAATTGCGCAAACGACGCGAGCCGAGAAAAGAGCGAACTGCATTCTCGCTCGCCCCATATCGCGATCGACGCCCGTGGGCTGCATTTACATTCCGACCGAATTGTCGTACGTTGGTTGGTGAACCTGCCTCCATCGCCGACTCGGCCCAATTTTCCCGGCTGCGGCGGCCTTATCGGAACGAGAAAAAGCGCGGAGTCGGTAAGCCGCACGGGGAAGCCCCGTGGATACAAAAGCCCCGTAATGCACGGTGCAAAAACTGCCGCGGCAAGGATCCTTTTTAACGAGCTCGCTTTCACCCGAAACGAAGAGAAAGAGAGAGAGAGAGAGAGAGAGAGAGAGAGCGCAAAAACCCTTCTCCGTTTCTCACGTTGGCCCTTCGACTTTGTAGATAAAATGTGGGAAACGCGAACGCGCGTGTCTTACCGTACCGCCGTACGCGTGCCGAGCGAAGCGAAGAGACAGCTTCCAGCCATGCGCGCGTTGGAGAATTCACCACGAGAGCCGGCCCTTGCGAACGAGCGCGTTGCGTTGAGCGAGTGGACGTGCGGGGGGGGGGGGGGGGGGGGGGCAACGCGGGCGCGACGCGCTAGCCCCGTTCCGGATTATCGTCGCGGGGACACGCGTCGGTAAGGGCAATATCCGTGGGAATTGCGCTCGTCGCGGCGATAACGGCGCAGGAGCGATACGCTCCGAGGCGAGCACGTCGCAAAAGCTGTAATCTTCGGGCGCGCACGTAACGCGCCGATCGATCGATATGGGAAAAGCGCGGCGCGCGCGGATGACCTACAGAGATGCGCTTTTTTCTCTCCCACCGATGTGGGTTGTCGAAAGCGAGTTGTCGTCGTCGGCAATCAATTCCCATTCGCATGTTCGCGGTTATTATCATTACCTCTATCGAGCAAGATGGACGTTACGAGCGCGCGCTGCGCTGTACACGCAATTTGTGCAGAAGGATACGTGGCATGGTAATGAACTGTTGCAACTCGAGACCAGAGATATATGAAATCAGAAGGAAATCCATTCGACCTAGAATTCTCCGCTGACTTGTATTTGCGTGTCCGTGGCGATTTCCTTGGGCTCGAATACGTTTTGCCCGCCAGGAGTTTGTCAGTTGCAAAAGAAAAGTCCCACAACGAATTGGCCGATAATTGACAGCCCATTAACAAGGGCACAATGGATTTTTCACAATTAAGACGGCAATTTGAGCGAATGGCTCATGCGCCCAAGCTCATTATGTCATTGAGGATGGATGTCGCGTGCCGATGCCCGTCTAATGGGGACTTCTCGAGGACTGTTTCCGCTAATTATCGAAGGGAGTGCGAGTCGATCGATAAGACCGAACGAGGGATATCTGTGACAAACGTTTTACTTTAATGCCCGAGCTAATGCAATTGCGACTATCGGTCGTTTCTTTCTTTCTTTCTTTTTCTTTCCTTTTATTTTCTGGGTTACGCTAATCGCCGCAGAGTGGTCGTTGATAATTTTAGCGCGAAGAAAAGCTAAGCGCGCGCGCTCACGTGACCGAGTAATCGTCGTTACATAGACATCTAACGAGCCATAAGTGATCTCGAAAGAGATGTCGGATTGTTCGCGCTGAATTCGCGTTATTCGTTTCCGGCCGCTGAAATGGAAGCGTAGCGTCGATAAGCCCGCGCGCGGCGCGCGTTCGGGTAATAAGCGACGCGTCCGACGTGGCGTACGGCGTGCGGCGTGCGAGCGAGTTCGACGAGCCACGGGCAGGCAATCGTGTTTCCCTCGCGCAAACATACACGCGATAACGACGTGGAGGATTGACAAATATTATTCGCGCGATACCGTTTTGCACAAAGGCGAGCTGAAAAATACACATACTCTGCGCGCCTTATCTCCGAACGCGCGCGAATCTTGATTATCTACGTGTATAGGCTTCGACGACGATGGAAAAGGGCAGGCGCGATCGAATTCGAGGAGGTCTCCGTTTGCGG